TGAATAATATAGAATGACACAGAAGCTATGTCGTACCTTCTAAAAATTTTATTTACTCATATCAGTCAAATGAAGACAGTAGGAAGTCCATTAAACCAGACCTTGGAAAGAAACCTATGTCCCCTAGTAAGTGTTCGCATTTCGTACTAATTCTGATAGTAACATCCTCTTTCTTATATGTATTTATAATACCAAAGTAAGTTGGATCCGTAGATTAGGTATACTTATTAAGAGGGAGCTTTTTTATCAACCACAGTATAATAGCTTTAGTTTCTTGCCATTACGTAAGTATTATTTTTAATTTTTGTATTACAATTAAAGGATGCAGTAAGTAGATAACAGATATCTTATGATTTTTTTTTCAAATGTTTATTTCTTTACATTGTAAAATGTTTACTTTGTTGGTCACTATATGTGATTTATGTAGTCTTTTGGTTGTATTACATTAAAAAAAAAAGCACCATTTGATTCTTTCAGGATAGTTATAGGAAACATTCTGTTGATCATTACTTCATTGATCAGACAGCAACATTGGCTACAAGTAATTCTTGAATACAAAGAGAATGAAAAGTTTCCATTGTATTTTTACAGAACTCTTAGTAATGAGCAAAAGATCACTAATATACTGATTGCTTTATATAGGGACATATCTTTATATTTTGTTTGTTCCTAATTGTTTCCTTCCCTTGCAGGAAGATTTTTTTTCTCTTCTTGAAATAACGTCACATCTATAAAGAATATCAAAGTTATATTTTAAAACATTCTCTTATAGTTTCATTTTGTAAAACATTGTTGACCACAGATACAGGTGATATTAAAAATTTCCTGTACTTTTATTTCATAGAACATTGTTGTCCATGGATCCAGATGATATTGAAAATTTCCTATAGTTTTATTTCATACAACATTGTTATCCATGGATCCAGATGATATTGAAAATTTCCTATAGTTTTATTTCATACAACACTGTTGTCCATGGATCCAGATGATATTGAAAATTTCCTAGTTTTATTTCATACAACACTGTTGTCCATGGATCCAGATGATATTGAAAATTTCCTATAGTTTTATTTCATACAACATTGTTGTCCATGGATCCAGATGATATTGAAAATTTCCTATAGCTTTATTTCATACAACATTGTTGTCCATGGATCCAGATGATATTGAAAATTTCCTGTAGTTTTATTTCATACAACATTATTGTCCATGGACCCAAGTTATAGTGATATATTCCTCTAATTTATTTCTTAAAACATTGTTGCCATGGGACTAGGTTATATTAAAAAATTTTCTATAGTTTCATTTCATAGAACATTGTTGGACATGGACCCAGGTGATATTGAAATTCCTGCAGAGCCCCCAGGACGATGTTCAAATACTTTGCAAGTAAGAGCTTACTGTGGTGTTAGATATCCTAATGAACTCCATCAAATATGTTGTTTTACAGTTATTAACCCTCTCCAGTTGGGTCATGTGTCAATAAGTAAATATTAAAAAAACACAGCTGAACATTGATTTTTGTGTGTCATGTGGTATGTTGGATGCAACACTGGTTCAAATTAGATGTTTGTGATATTCAAAATACTAAATCTATAGTTTCATGCAAATTAGGAACTAAAATTACCGATATTGACAAGGTGGAATGTAAAATAAGAACCTCATATCTTATCTATATACCGATATATCACTCATGTAATGAATCAAACACAGTGGCCCTGCTCACCTCTTTCAATTTTTGGAAATAGTCCCTTATATACACTTACTTCAATATATGACATGTGAATAACCATTTGAAAGCTCAGAATGTCCCCCTAGTAGCTTTCTCAGCCATTTTCATGTGTTAGACACCATCTCTTTCTTCCAAATTAAGATTTCAAGGAGGTAGGTAGCGTCTTTTGTCTGCTCGAAATTTCATATTTTTTAGACCGAAATACAGCTTAGATAGTTACTTTGGTTGATAAATTATAGTGGAAATTTGTAGTAATTTATGATTTTTTGGCTGTTCAACTGTATATATAAAACCTAAAAAAAATTATTTCATTTCATATCCTCCACATCCAAAATTTCAAAAGGCTTAGCAAACTAAGTCAAGCGGGAACCGAGTCCAAAGGTTGTAACTAGAAGAGATAATTGTTTGCTTTACTCTTTTATTTACTGTTCTATATTTTAAGAAAAATAAGTTTAAGAATCTATTTCAAGTTAGCAATAATCTATATACATATATAATGTATAATAATGGAAATGTGACTGTATTTTACAAAATACTAGTTTACTAAAACAGCCAAGAAAGTTTTATATTATTGGATATGGTAACATGAGAGCATGTGTGCTGTGTCATTGTAACTTCTGTAATGTTAGCCAGGCATGGCTGAAAGGTCAATATCATAAAAATAATAAATATATATATATGAATGTATAATTATTATTTTCATTATATTGACCCTATGAGTTTTAAGCTATTTAGTCTAAACATTTATGTTTTTGTGTTATAATTTGTTGTCATTCTAGAATTAAAGAGGCATAATTTATATTTATTTTCTAATTTTTATGGTGGTTACAAGATCGGTCAAATCTTCTGAACCTGTACAGAGATGTGTTTGTGAAGATAACAGATTAAAATATAAAGTATTTTTCTTAAGAAACATTTGATAACTATCTGGACATTATAAAAATTTTGCATGTGAAATTTGAAAAGTTTCTTATGCATAAAAGTATTTTTAGTCGTAAAATTAAAATTACTTTGCATGTTGGATAGGTAACATGCGAAAAGAAAAAAAGGCAAGTGAAAAACATTGCTTAACAAACCTTAAGACTTAATAAACAAAACTGATATCTTGCATGTGAAAGCATCGTAATGTTTACTGATAATCTGCCAAATTTTGGTGAACATACATTTACTAATTTAAAAGTTATAGCATGAAAACTATAACAACCACAAAATGGTTAGGAGGTCGGTCCCAGGGACCAAGACTGTGTTGAAACAATAGAAAAGAGGAATAGGTTATGTTAAAGCTTTGAAAATGCCTAGGATTGAGGTTTCTTTTGAACTTAAACCAAGTGAAAGTGTGACATCCCAAAGACTTGCCCATCATATGCTCTCTAATGTTATAAATTTTAAACTCCTCAATATTGAAGTTTTACAAAAGGGTATACAGAACATTACTGTTTAATTCTTTGAACTTTTCCATATTAAATTGAAGAGCTTTTAACTTGCAGTATTTTTTACTCTTATGATACTTTTGTTATGTTTTAAAACTTAAAGTGAATAGGAAACTTTCTTGATTTTCTAAATATTACACAGTATATAGTATGATATTGTTACTATTACAGTTTATACGAAATGTGTAAATCATTGGTTCCCTCACTGATGACACCCTAACCTATTTACCTTGATTTGAGCAACACCTCTGCTGCCATGTGCACTAATTTGATTGTAGAGTTTTACTTATGTTTCTAATTATTCTTTGTTTGATGAAGCTCTCACAACATCCCTAGCAACTTGCTGTGACACACTAGTGTGTTACAACATACAGTTTGGAAACCACTGGTATAAATGCTACAGTTATTCAACACGGTGTTGCTTGTGCTGATGTTGTTACATTACTTTTGTTTTTGAAGGAAAAAATTGCTCGACTGTATGAAAAGAAGCTCCGTGAAGAAAAAGACATGAATATATCAATACAAGGAAGAAAAGATTTTAGAAATCCAAGGTAAAACTTCTCATGAAGATATGGTAAATCTAACAATATTGTACATAATATCAGTCACTTTTGTGCAAGTTTCATTGTCAGTGTTGTATGAATGCACAGAATATTATATTAATTGTTATTTTTAACATGAGTGTTGTGTAAATATTAAATTACTTGTTATTTACATCCTCGGTGTTGTACAAATGTAGGGAATATTATTGTACTTGTTATTTTTATTCTCAATGGTGTGTGAATACAGGGAAGAGTATGTTATTTATTTTTATTCTCAATAATTACTGTATCATTTATCTTAATCCTGTGTGTTGTGTGAATGTAGGGAACACTATGTTGTTTATTTTTATTCTCAATAATTACTATATCATTTATCTTAATCCTGTGTGTTGTGTGAATGCAGGGAACACTATGTTATTTATTTTTGTTCTCATTAATTACTATATCATTTATCTTAATCTTGTGTGTTGTGTGAATGCAGGGAACACTATGTTATTTATTTTTATTCTCAATAATTACTATATAATTTATCTTAATCCTGTGTGTTGTGTGAATGTAGGGAACACTATGTTATTTATTTTTATTCTCAATAATTACTATATCATTTATCTTAATCCTGTGTGTTGTGTGAATGCAGGGAACACTATGTTATTTATTTTTGTTCTCATTAATTGCCATATTACATGTTATATTTATTCTCATTAGTTACTATATTATTTATTATTATTATTATCCAGCATGTTGTTTAAAGCAAAGAATGCTATATTAGTTGTAAATTTATTCTCCATACTTACTATATTATTTGTAATCTTTAACCTCAACAAAAATGTTGTCTGAATAGATGGGAGAACTTTATTTCAGGATATGCTTAATTTTTTCACAATATAATAATGATGCAGTGAAACTCAACTGTAGTTATTTTAGTAAAAAAGAAATATGTTCCAGAAGCAATTGCTTTTTTTAATATTTTTTTTATTGTAAAGAGATTTTTCATGTCAATTTTCATTTTTACAGTATATATGAAAAACTAATTGCATTTTGTGGCATTGATGAAATGGGAACAAATTATCCACCTGTAAGTACAATTTTACAATAAGTGTTTCACCAGTAACTATAATATTGTAGTGTAGTGACTCACCAGTAACTATAATATTGTAGTGTAGTGACTCACCAGTAACTATAATGTTGTAGTGTAGTGACTCACCAGTAACTGTAAGTGGTGTGCTTTGTACATGACAGCCTTATGGTGACACCTTTTACATCGGAAGAGTATGACTATGATAATGTGGTGAGGCTCCAAAATCATTTTAATATAACCTACTCTGTGTACCATTGTTTTGTTTTATTAATTAATTGCTATATGGATGTTACAAACATTTTTTATATTAAAATTGTTTTTTCTTCTATAGAGAGATGATTAAAAAACAAATGTACAGTATACATTGCTAGTCTACTTAAGTCAGGTTGTAGTCTGAAATTAGGAGGCAAACATTTCTTTCATTAAATATTAACAATGAAACAGGAAGGATGGGTTTTATAAGTAATGGAACCTTATTAATATATATATATTATTTGGTTTTTTCATGCAAATAAACTAGTGTGTTTTTAGTTTCAAAATCTACTCAGGTTTTCTACAGTTACTCCAGATCTTGCACTGTTGAACTCCTCAATTTTGAAGATAAAAAAACAACTAATTATCTTATGTATTTTTCAAAACATCATGCATCTTAATTTTATTCTCTAGGAAATATATGACCCTCACAAGTGGGGACCTGAATCATTTTATGAAGAATTAGGTTTGTAATGTAGATTTGATTTTACTACAGAAGTTCAAATTAAATTGAATGATTAATTTACTTTTCTGTTAAAGTTTCATTTAAAATTATATGTTGTTATTTACTAATATTACCATTGCTGAAACATGTGTCTGCCATACAAAGACAAAATCTAGTTGAGTTATTAAGTGCTGAGTAGGATTTGTTTTATATGTTTGTAGAGTAAATAGAGATCACAACTATTTAGTAAAAACATCGTCACTAAGACCTAAGACATAGTTGAGTTATCAAATATTGGCATGATTTGTTTTATACTTTTAGTGGAGTAAATAGAGATCACAACTATTTAGTAAAAACATCCTCACTAAAACCTGGAATGTAGTTGAGTTATCAAACATTGGCATGATTTGTTTTATACTTTTAGTGGAGTAAATAGAGATCACAACTATTTAGTAAAAACATCCTCACTAAAACCTGGAATGTAGTTGAGTTATCAAACATTGGCATGATTTGTTATATACTTTTAGTAGAATAAATATAGATCACAAATGTTTTGTAAAATATTATTCATATTTTTTACAGCTAAAAGGCAAAAAGAAGAAATGGACAAGAAAGAAAAAGAAAGGAAAGAAAGAACAAAGGTGATTTCCAAGTGTGTGTTTCAGTAGTTGTAGTTTAGTCTCAGAATACTTTTTAAAGTTTTGATTACTAAAATGTATCATATAGCAAGAAATATCAGTGACCTCCAGTCCAAATTATGTTTGTGAATACATTCTAACTAGCATAATGGTTAATATATTTTTTGTGTAAAAATGCTAATGTAATAAGATTTGTATGTGAAGGTATAAAGTCATCATGAAAAATTGTTTATTTTAGAATATTAAAAACTATATTCTACATACATTACATATATCTAGTAAAGATTGTCCTAACTATTGCAAACAATTTTAATTATATTGTACTTCATTAGGTTGAGTTCATTTCTGGCACAGCAAAGAAGCCCAGTGATCAGCCTGCAGTTACAGGTTAGTAATTGTTTTGTATTCTGTGTAATTGGAAGAAGTTATGCTGATAAGGTGGGTTATTTATCTACTCAACACAACAGAAATTTCTCGTATTGGCCAGCATTCAAGCTCTGTATCTTTTGTATTTGTTTGTTTATTCATGTTATGTTAAATCTCTGACAAACATTCTGGTAATTTATCTGAATAACTAGAAATTATAATGATCCAAATTGGAAAAAAAAGTTCAAAGTATAATAAATGATGAACAAGGTTCTTGTCTCAAGGTTTAGGAATTATTGTATTATTGCCAACATTCCAGGCACAAATATTAGTTACATGCATTATTTTCAAGATGTTTGGGTCAAGGTTTAGGGAATCGTGTGTTATTTCTAATATTTCAGGCTCAGAGGCTAGGGAGTCATTTATTATTTGCAAGATTCCAAACTCTAAGGTTACGGAGTCATTTATTATTTGCAAGATTCCAAACTCTAAGATTAGGGAGTCAGGTATTATTTGCAAGATTCCAAACTCTAAGGTTACGGAGTCATTTATTATTTGCAAGATTCCAAACTCTAAGATTAGGGAGTCAGGTATTATTTGCAAGATTTCAAGTTCAAAAGTTAGGAAGTTGTGTATTATTTCTAAAATTCCAAGTTCTAAGGCTTAAGGAGCTTGCATTATTTTCAAGTATCCAGGCTTAAAGTGTAGGGAATATTGCATTGTTTCCAAGATTCCAGGCTCCAAAGTTAGGATCTTCCATTATTTTCAAGTTGCCCGGCTCCTAAATTTAGGGAATTATACATTATTTCCTAGACTTCAGGCTTAAAAGCTTTGTGCATTAATTACATAATTTCAGGCTCTAAGGTTAGGAAATAGTTCATTGTTTTCAAGATTTCAGGCTCAAAGTTTAAGGAGTTGTGCATTATTTCCATGAATCGAGATTTAAAGGTTTGGGAGTTTTGTGTTATATCCAAGATTCCAAGTTAACAGACTGGGGAGTCATATATTATTTTCTGTGGTTAATATCCTTAAGTAGCATGTTAAGCTTGCTCACAAAAATTTCTTTCTTACTGATATCTTATAAAAAGTTATTTGCACCTAGCTTATATTTATGTTAAATTGATAGGTTATGTAAAAAAAGTGCACTTGTTTCTAACCTAATGAAAACAACTGTTTATCATTTTCTTCCTGAGCAAGGTCTTTATGTTAAATACTGAATAATTTTACTAATTAACAAGGAACTAAAAATATTTTTTTTTATTATCTTCATAGGACAAATGTTATAGTTAATTGTTTGAGCAATTAAATATTTTAATTGAGCTACCTTTAGAGATAATATGTAAAATTTTAGTTCATCTGGTGTGTTCTGAGAGCTGTTTGTATGTTATGGTAGGTACTTACAGCTTTCATTGTTTCAAAGAGTTATTCTTTTATTTTTCAAATTATGTTAAAAAAATATATATATACAATTTTGTACATGCTTTTAAGATATCTTGTTTTTTCTCCATAGAAAAACGGAAAAGTAAGTGGGATGTTGGAGCTGGTCCTGTTGGGATTGCTGCTGGAGTTATAAAACCCACGACCATAATGCCACCAGCAGTTGTTCCTGTTTCTGCTGCCACGGGAACAAAGCCCACAGTGATTTCAGCATTTGGGACAATAACAAAAAAAGCTAAACAATAATGTTACTGATATTATTTTACATTGATTTGTGAAGAATGACAGCTGTGTGAACCATCTGGTGAACTGTGAAATACTTCATTAAACTGTGTTTTGAAAAGTCTTCATCACTCTGTTATTTTTAAATCATGTGTGTGTATAGTTAAGTGGGCATAAAAATCTTTATTTGAATTTAATTGAATCTTGCATGTATAAAATGTGTTTTGTTTAATTGAAAGAGATAAATACTACATCAAAGGAATAGTGTCCTCTACATCTTTAACTGACAGCGGAGGAGTTAGTCTTGCCATGCCTCTACCAAACAGTGAAGTAACTGTGTTCACCATATAATTTCTTGAAAATGAAGTGTTTCTGACACATCTTTAACAGATGCTAAAGAAAGAATTTGCCATATATTTCCAGAAAACAAAGGAATTGTTTCATCTAGATCTTTATCTTACACTGAAGAAGGTGTCTCCACATCTTTACTATTCATTTGAATACTAGATGACAATCCCAGGGGTTGCACTGACTCCTCATGTGGAGGCTGGCTGGCTCTTAGTAGGGAGAAGAGAGTAATTTTACCAATTTTAGGAGATACTTTCTAGCTGTATATTTTCCTTTTTATTCCTCATCTTTTGCTTTTCTTAGCTATATCATATGGTACCTTGTTTTCCAACAGTCTCATTTCAACTGAATGTTGATGAAATCTTCCATGGTTGCCATTTGTGATTTATTAGTGCAGAGAAGATTGGAATCCTGCCATATTTTTACCAGACGTGAGGAAATATTGTTCTCTACATGTTTACCAGAAATTGAAAGAATTTTATTCTCCACATTTTCAGCTGCTGTTAAAAGAACTGTGTATTCTGCAGTAAGGGAGTCGTGTCCACCAATAGGGATTACAATCCGAAAGCTTTTTCTAAATCATGTAATATCTGGATGTTAGTGTATTTTCTCTTTTATCTTAACCAAAGTAATTAAACTATCTGCATTCCTTATTTCACTTAAATGATTAAAAAAGTAATGCAAACACAGGAGATTGGTAAAATTAAGCATTTGAATGAATAATTTTTGTCATTAAAAACTGTTATTTTACCTCATGAACACTTGTATCAGATCCCTTTTGTATGTGCATCTGACTGCATCATCCTCATCCAGCAAGAAAAGTCATTCAGTATTCAGGGTATAAGCAATTAAACTTGAATACGTGTAGTTTTATATTAGCATTTAATGAATTTTATTCAAGAAATCACATTGGTTAAACATTTTCATGTGATTTGGTTAAGTATTATCACTGTGAGAAGAAGATATATGGTCCTGAAAGGCTTAATATAGTCCTTAATTTTATACTAATTTTAACCTAGATACTAAAAATATGTACGTACACTATACAAATGATCTTAACACTAAACATACTATATAAATGTAAACCTTGATCTTAAACTTTCCCAAATACACCTTACAAACAAATAAATATACATATACACTGTACCAACGCAAATTAAATGTAAAAAATCTAAAGTGTGGATTAAAGTCGTGGTGTCCTTGTTATAAAAATTATTTGCTCTTCATGATAAGATATACAAAAACCTGTGGTCAAGCTCCCTGTCTACAGGTTTGTGTGTTGTCACGCTTATTGAACAAAAATAAAACCTGTAGTGCTCCATGTCTACAGGTTTGCGTATTGAGCAAAAATAAAACCTGTGGTCAAGTACCATGTCTACAGATTTATGTGCTCTCATGCTTAACCTGCTTGTAGAACACAAAAGTAAACCTGTGGTCAAGCTCTGTCTATAAGTTTATATGTTCTCATGCTTAACGTACTTGTAGAACAAAAATAGACCTGTGGCCAAGCTCTGTCTACATGCTTACGTGTTCTCATGCTTAACAAAAATAAACCTGTGGTCAAGCTCCATATCTACAGGTTTACGTGTTTCTACAATTTTACGTCTTCTTATTATTAATCTTCTTGTAGAACACAAAAATTATCCTGTGTTCCAGCTCTGTGTCTACAAGTTTACGTGTTCTCACGCTTAACCTGCTTACAGAACAAAAATAAACCTGTGGTCAAGCTACGTGTCTTTAGGCTCAAGTTTTCCCACGCATAACTTGCTTGTGGAACACGATCCCTACTATTGTAGACATCCTCAGGTCTGGAGATTGACCAACCTCAGATGTGCTGTATCCCACTGCCGTCTCGTTCTTAGAGAAACGAAATTCTTGTCCTATAGGAAAGAAATAGATAAGCACGAGTGCAAAGTAGATATCTGCAAATTTAATCAAACACTGACCAAGTTCTCCAACCGTGGAAATTGAACATTAACATCTCGTTTTCTTCAATTTCATAACTGAAGAGAATAGTTACACTTCATGCAAGGATGTCACTTCTCGCCTACAGCATTGCGTGCACAGTTTGTATTTTCATATAACTGGTCTTGTAGTGACAAATGTGAAATGGCAAGAACGTATTAAAAAGATTTTTGATTTTGTAAATATTTTTCTTTTGCGTGAAAAAAATGAGTTCCCAGAATGAACTAAAATATTTGAAATGAAATGTAAATGAGTAAGGTGAAATTATCCGTGGGAAGTAAAATTTATAGTGTCATTAAACATTCCAAATTCACATTTGTTATGTAGCAAGACACTATTTATAAATTTCCCATGGAAACTTCACCTTACTTATTCACGTGTCGGTTCAAACTAACTGAAACGTTTCTACTCACACAAGCTAAACACAGTTCAAACTGGGGTTTCCTACAAATATGGCAGCACTGGCTAAAAAATGTATGAAGTTTTCGCAAAGGCGTCAATACGACAGAAAATCGTTTTAAGAGTTCTTGGGAACAGGCTATACTAAGTGCTAGATATCCATCTCTTCACACAGCTCCTGCCTATGCAGTCACTTCTTTATTGACTGAGCCATCCATTACAGTAATCAGTCTCGGTCTCTGCTTGTGTATTAATTCCACAGCTTTGGTTGTTTTGACCTTTCCATATATGTCCTGCTTTCAATATTCATTATTTTACATTAATGCCGTCTGTCTGGTCCTACTCAATGCTCTTGTTGTTTTCCATAGGGCTACTCTACATCTTTCTTGACCTCACTGACTCATGACTTAACTGCTTTCGATCTCTTTATTGCTGCTTCATCCGTCTTCTTTCTCAAGTGCTGAAATATTGTATGAGATGTGTTTGTGATTGTTCTGAGTAGGACTTAACTGGCTAGAACCCTTGTTTTTGACGTAATGCTGCTAAAACCAAGCCCAAATTATGGAGTGATAGTGTTGCTGCTTCGTTTGCTATTCTCTGGCTGAATTATACATCTGTATTTTTGGCATTGCTGACTTTGTCACTGATGCACGCAATTAGATAGTTTAGTCTCCAACCTGATCTTGACTGTTACTCTCATCACATTGATGAGGCTCTTTTACTAGAATTTCTGGCTGAAGTATATATGAGAAGGTTAACACTCTTCCCTACCTTCTCTCTCAGACGATGAATATGTGCAGTCCATTGCATCACCCAGAAAAATACCAGTGTTCTTATGTTCACCTGTCTTTACATGTCAGCATAAAGAGAGAGGTGTCCGTGTTAGAACTGATAACCAACATACAGCAGGCATTTTCTAGTTGAATGGACATTTTGTTATCTGTATTCCACTGGCAGACACTTTTACTGGCTTCTTCCAGCATCTGTACCGTTCCCATTGACACGTGTAAGATGTTTTCATCAACTATATTATGTAAATGGGCTTGATTTTTCGTGGTGGGCACAGCAGATAATTTAATGTGGTCTTGTTCTAAAACAAACACTGAGCAGACTCTGTGGTCCTTCTGTATTTTCTCTTTCAACAAGTGTTTCATTAAAAACTTCTCTGTAAGACAGTATACGAGGCCTGTGAGAAAAGTATCCGACCTTTGGCCGGGGAATAAAACTGGCATACCTGGAGCGTTGG